AAGCAAGTATGGTTTACACAAATTATTATATGGTTAGTCATTATAGGGCTTTCTTCGTTAATATAATAGAAGTTACTTGGTTAGTGTTACAAGAGTTACTTCGTTAGTGTTATAGGGCTACTCAGTCACTGTTATATATGGGTTACTCAATCAGTATTACAAGGGTTACTTGGTCAGTGTTATAGGGTTTACTTTGTTTTTTATAAGTGGCCACACGATGTGACAGCCACACACAAAATAGGCTGGTAATTTTAATAGCTTTCATTCAATCTTAATTATTGCCACTTGTTAGATCACCTTATCATCTTCTTATCATATAAAAATATTGACATTCCAATCAGCTTATGTAATGTCCTTTACAAATGCATTACAAAGTGTATTTTGAATCGACTTAGAAAGGTTTTACCTTCGGTGGTTTCGAAATTTCAGAATGCTTTCGAACCTGATCGACTAATGGTGGATAATTTTCTCATTGCACATGAAATGTTTTTCTATACGAATAATTCTAGGGGACAAACTTTTTCAGCAGCCTTAAAACTTGATATGAATGGAGCATATGATAGGGTCAATTGAGAATTTATGTGGCAATTTTTTCGGGCCTTTAGTTTCCCTCCATACGGGATTCATATCATTCAGCAATATGTTTCAACGGTCTCCTATCAGATTTTGGTTAATGGCAATCCTACATAGATTTTCAGGTCGATTCGGGGTGACATAGAGATGCTCTTTATTCCTACTTGTTTGTCCTCAACATGGAGATATTTTCGGCTATGACCCGTAAAGCCGAAAGGGATAACTTATTTCAAGGTGTTAAGATTTCTAGGAATGCTTCTTCTATTACACATCTTTTCTTTGCGGATGACTCTCTACTTTTCTTCCGATCCAGCCTTCTCCTTCGACATGTGAAGAAATTCTGCATGTAATTGTGACATTTAAATACAAATGATTAACCAGCAAAAATCTTTTGTTCGATTCAAACCTAATATTCCTAACGGTTATAGAGAATATTTGGCTTCTGTTTTATGAATAAAAGTCATCTATCTTTGGGTTCGTACTTGGGTCTTCCGGTGGATATTAGAAAAAGTAAATGTAAACAATTTTCACCCCTAGTGGATAAAGTTGCAAGTCAGTTAAGAAACTTTGCCTCCCTTCATCTCTCAACGACTGCAAAATTGTTAATTCTTAATTCGATTATGGTTCCTTCCCTCAACCATTTTCTTTTGGATTTCAAGATCCATCCTCGATTTGCTACAAAATAAGTAATATGAGGATCTGGTTTTGGTGGAAATCTAATCCTCGATCTAAAGGAATTGCAGCGGCATCCTCCGCTCTCCTCTTTATTCCTAAAGGGATGGGACGCCTGGGTCTTAGACATTTAGGTCTCTTTAATTTAATTCAGCCTTTATTGGCTAAGCAATCGTGGAGAACAACAAAGAATTCCCAGCTTTTGATCTCATGCATTTATCAGGGCAGATACCCTTCGCTGCTACACTGTCATTCTCTAGTTCGCACTTCCTGACCTTCTTGGGGCTGTAGAGGTTTATTGGAAGGTGTTAAAACTCTTTAGTGTCTTAAGTGGAAAATAGGAAATGGTTCTTAGGTTCCCATTCTTCAGGATTCTTAGGTGCTAGAGACATCTGTGCAGTTCAAGGATACTGTGGCTGGGTTGATTCATCTTAATATAGTGTCTTCTCTTCTTGATCCATGCACTTATGGGACGCTACTTTGGTCCATTATTTATTTCCTTCTTCCACAACAGTGAAGATTTTGGCCCTTGAAAGGCCTGCGCAGCCTATGGATGAGTTTGTATATTGGAAATTAATTAAGGATGGAACCTTTTCAACAAAGACGGTCTACACATGTTTAATTCAAAACTATGTTCTCCCTCACTCATCAAGCCTTCCTGTTTCTTCGGTTTGGTGGAAAAAGCTCTCGGCTTTACCTGTTTTGCCAAAACAAAAGCTTTTTGGGTGAAATTGCTGGATGATGCGCTCCGTATTGCAACAAAATTACATTCCAAAGGTATACCCATCAACCATATGTGCTCCTTTTATCATTCTAGTCTTGAGACAGTTGGCCACCTCTTCTTGTATTGTTCGTTCTTGCGTTATCTCTAGGTATGTGGTCCTCTAGGTATTCGGATTCCTGATGATAATCATCTTCCTTTCCCAAGTTGGTTTTCTTCTTTATTTACTTTTATGACTGCTCTTGGGGAGAGTTTGGCCTTGGATTCGATCCTATCCTTCACTTGGGCTATTTGGGTTTCCGGAAATTAACAACATCTGATTTCGAGACTCTTCTTGCTCCTCGTCAGAAGTTTTTCAAATTACAAATGACTTGCTTTGGCGTTGTGTTGCGACGAAGGATTTCAGCTTCCATTAGACAATGTTATTCCCCCTGGGTTTGGAGCTCAACTATCGTCCCTCTCCCTTCGGAGTTGTGGGGAGGAATTATTATACCTACATTGGTTCTTACTGTGGATGGTGCCCAGCTAGTGTTAAGATATATATTTATCATATATATCTTTGACCTTGTAAATATATTGTTTCCTAGATTAGTGCTAGATTAATGCCTAGAATATTTCCTATATAGCTATTCCTAGTTTGTAGCATTAGTTAGTGGCTGAACTTAAGCCCTTGTATTTTGTATAAATTGACAGTGAATGCAAAGCTATACTCACGGATTAAATTTCTTCATGGTATCAGTTGCTTAGGGTTAATTCCGATGCACCCTAACTCCTTGTTCCGCCTTCTCTTCTCTTCTCTTCTACCCATCCTCTTCTCTTCTTCATCACAGTACTATGTCGGACTCTAAGAGTTCCTTTCACCCGGCTTTTACTGTTTCTAATATCAAAAGTAACATCCCCATAACCCTTGAAATGGAGAATGTTTATTATTCTACTTGGGCGGAACTGTTTAAGGTACACGCTCGATCTCACAAGGTTCTTAACCATATCATTGCTCCGAAGAAGAAGGTCGCTGCCCCTTCAACCGATGAGGAAAAGGAGCTTTGGGTGACATCGGATGCGATGGTTCTTGGGTGGATTTATTCCACAATTTCTAAGGACCTGTTAAACACCATTATTGAACCTGATTCCACGGCCATCGAAGCTTGGGATCGCTTGCATGACATTTTTCAAGACAATCAGATTTCCCGTGATGTGGCTCTTGAACATGAGTTTTCTAATACTTATATGGAGGATTTTCCTAACACTTCGGCGTATTGTCAAAGGCTTAAAACTCTCTCCGATCTATTGAAGAATGTAGGAGCTCCGGTGGACAACAATCGGCTTGTTCTTCAATTGGTTTCCCCCTTCTCCTTGGCAGAATCAATTTCCACCTTGGGGGTGGGTTCCTCAATGGACCAATCCTCCTTGTCCATACCCAACCCAAGGGTGGGCCAAACCTCAAGTCCCAATGAAGCAGCAGTCCATTGTAATAATAGGCCCTCATCCTCAACATGCTTATGCAGTTTCACAACAGTCTTATGTTTCGACAGATATCGAATCGGCTATGCACACCATGACATTGAGCCAACCCGATCCCTCGTGGTATATGGACACCAGTGCAACTTCGCACATGACATCCTCCAATGGTAATCTCTTGTCTTATTTTAATTTGAGCAATCATCATAATAGTATTGTTGTTGGTAATGGTCATTCAATTCCAATTCGTGGTTGTGGTCATACTACTTTGCCGTCCCCGAACCCACCCTTGTCCCTTTCTAATGTCCTTCATGCACTTAAATTAATCAAAAATCTAATTTCTGTTAGGAAATCTACGACTGATAATTATGTGTCTGTTGAGTTTGGCCCTTACGGTTTTTCTGTGAAGGTTTATTGGACGGGGATGCTAATAATGATATGTGATAGTCAAGATGATCTATACCCACTCACTTCCACCTCTTCACACTCCTCTACATCGACCTTTATGGCTTTAGCTTCCTCTCTTTGGCATGATCGATTGGGACATCCGGGGTCTTCCATTTTAAAGTTTCTTAAAAGTAATAAAAATATTGAATGTACTCATTCATCTAGTTCTAGTATTTGTCAATCTTGTGTACTCGGAAAGCACATTAAGTTACCGTTTATTTCTTCTAATTCAAGTACTACTTTACCTTTTGATATTGTTCACAGTGATCTATGGTCTTCCCCTGTTTTGAGTTCTTCAGGTCATCGATATTATATGCTTATCTTGGATGATTTTTCTAAGTTTTTATGGACTTTTCCTTTAGCTAGAAAATTTGATGTTTTTGATAAGGTCTCAGCCTTTCAAACTTTTGTTCGCACACAATTTGATCGACCTATTAAAAATTTCCAATGTGATAACGGGCGGGAATATGATAACCGACCTTTTTGGGCTATGTGTGAGTCTAATGGCATGTCTTTTCGTCTTTCTTGTCCACATACGTCATCACAAAATGGAAAAGAAGAGAGAAAAATTAGATTATTGAACAATATTATCTGTACTCTTCTTGCACATGCATCCCTTCCACCATCATTTTGGCACCATGCATTGCAAATGGCAACTTATTTGCATAATATTCTACCGAGTAAGCTGCTTGAGTACAAATCCCCTCTCCAAATTCTCTATCAAAAAGAACCATCTTATTCTCATATCCGTGTTTTTGGGTGTTTGTCATTAGTAGAAAAAATGCTATTTGTAAGGCCCTATTAGTAACTGGCGTATATTATGCTAGTTACAAAAGCATCAATAGTAATCGACTAAGATAATGCTAGTTACTAATTTCGTGACATTAGTAACTGGCATAGTAAATGTCAGTTACTAATATGTAGTTTATCATTGTTTGAAGTATTATCTGTAACAGACTAAATAAATGCCAGTTACAAATATTAAGTCAAAGAAATTTTGACCCAAACGTTTGTAACTAGCTTACAAACGCCAGTTACAAATATTAAGTCCAAGAAACTTTGACCAAGACATTTGTAACTAGCTTGCAAACGCCAGTTACAAATATTAAGTCATAGAAACTTTGACGAGAAGTTTGAAACTAGCTTACAAACGTCAGTTACAAATATTATAACAATTCTCCTAGTAATATTAATAAAAGACTTAATTTTTTTTAAACAAAAAGACTTAAATATTAAAACAATTCTCCTATTAATACAAACAAAATAATTATTGCATCAAAAAAAAAAAAAGACTTAAATTTTTTTTGAAATAAAAAGACTTAAATTTTTTTTCCTTTGTTTTATCAGTTTCGCTCCAAGTTCTCACGCAGCTTTCAGTTTCGCTCCTCCTTCATCCCACAGTTTCGTGATTTTGCTCCAACAAATTCCATTTAGTTTGCATAATTTTTGAATTTGGGTTCAGCTTTATTGGTTCTATATCAAGGTATGTAATTTTTCAAATTAGGGTTCTTGTAATTTTCCCTTTCTTAAAATCAGCCCTAAAAATCGCATTAAACTTTATTGTTGATCAGTTAGCTGAGTAATTTCGATTGTGATTGTGTACTCCTCCATCAACAAAGAGCGTCTTCTTCTCAACTTTGATCTCCAACGTTTTAAGAGCCCTAAAGGTATGTAATTTTCGAATTAAGGTTATTGTAATTATCCCTTTTCTTAATTCAATAAGAGCCCTAAAATTCGAATTGAATTTCATAATTTTGACCTTGTTGTTGTGGTTGATAATTTTGATTTGATTAGGAGGTGCGGTATTTGCTTGTGTGCTGCCGATTTTATGTTTATTTTGCTTATTCTTGTTAATGGTATTACTTTGCATTATATGGGTAGGATTACTCTGTAATTATTTTGTTTGTTTTTGTTGTGAAACTTAATATGCAGTATTAGTTTACATAATGTCGGTCTGTGTGATTACCTAGTTGAACTTAATGTGCTTTGTTTATAGATATTTTGATTTGTACTATAGAATTTTTTTTTAAAGCATACCTATACCTATCTTTATTCTGAAACTATTCAATAATTGTAGCTACATACTTAGTTATTAATTAATTTTCTTGATAAAAGACTGCATTAGAAACTAGGGTGTAGTTAGTGCGATACATTGCTAAAGGTCTGCAAACATTTATCTGTGTTCGATCTGGTTCGTAATGTACATGTCATCACCTCCAGGTTTAAGAGTTGTTCCTGAGTATATTGCAGTCAAGTCTGAACATAGGATTGTGAATTGAGATAGAGCATGATGAGGGTTGAGGTTGTGGCAGAGTAGTGTCAGTTGAACAAATTTTGTTTGTGGGAAACTGGTCATTTGATGAAAGGATGTCGTGTATATCTGAATTTGGCTCTACTTTTTATTCTTATTGTATCTGCCTTCTTTAGTAAATTTCGTAAGGGGTTTTTTCCTTCCTAGTTAGTAGTAAAATGCCCTCTTTTATTGTATGAAAAATAATTTCAGCATTGTTTGTTCTATCTAATACATTAATTTTTCTTGAAAAATTAATTTAGATTAGTTTTGGTTAGGCCCAAGAAGCATGAGTCGATATTCTGAATTATTATCAAATAGGCAGAGACTATATTATATACTATCATATTTGATTAAGTAAAGCTCAAATAGTTTAATAAAGGGGGAGGGAATGAGAGCTAAAATTCAGAACTGAAATCAGAAATGAAATGCAAAACTGAAATCAGAGCTGAATTTCAGTTCTGAAATCAGAAGCTGAATTTGAGTTCTGAAATCAGAAGCTGAATTTCAGTTCCAAAATCAGAATGAAGCTGAATTTCAATTCTGAAATCAGAGCTGAATTTCAGTTCCGAAGTTCAGAACTTAAATCAGAGCTGAAATTCAGAACTGAAATCAGAGCTGATAATTCAGAGCTGAAATTCTGCTGTAATTGTATTTTGGATGGTAGTTGTTATATTTAGAGCTGAAATTCAGAATATAATGTCTAGTAGTTGTTTATGGCTGTTGTCCTATTGTAATTGTCTTTGTTTGTTTCTAATGTACTTGTTCTAATAGTTATATGCTTGCTTTTTCTATAATTTGTAGTAAGAAATGAATCGTGATTGGATGTATGTTGAAAATCGAACTCAACCCGAGTTCTTGAACGGGATTGAGGAATTTTGTAGAACTGCTATTGAACACCAAAGGACTACTATAGGAGAAAGAATCTTTTTCCCTTGTCGTGATTGCAACAATGTGAAGAAGTGGAAGGAAATTAGTGTGGTTGAAAACCATTTATTTCGCCGTGGGTTCATGGAAAATTATACCATTTGGTATTGGCACGGTGAGAAAATAATTCCTACAACTAGTAGGTCATCAATCAATGACGCTGATATGGAGAATAGAGAACAATATGATGATAATGAAAGGGATACCGATGATTTTTTCGAGGAGGATCACATTCCTGAGATGATGGATGGTTTGGGTGATCATGTGAACGAAGAATCTCGTATGTTTGAAAATGTGTCAAAGGCCGCCGAGACACCTTTATATCCAGGATGTGCAAAGTACTCTAAGCTTTCAGGGGTTTTAACATTATTTAACTTGAAAGCAAAGAACGGTTGGACCGATACAAGTTTCAATTCGTTGTTAGAAGCTTTATCAGACATGCTTCCTGAAGGGAATGACATTCCTAAGTCTACCTACTATCCAAAGAAGCTATTGTGTCCCTTAGGTCTTGAGTACACAAAGATCGATGCATGTCCTAATGATTGTGTACTTTTTCGAAATGAGTATGAAAACCTTGATGCTTGTCCAAAGTGCGGTGTTGATCGCTACAAGCGCGAGGGTTCAAACCCCAATCGCAAGAAGTGGCCACCAGAAGGTGTTATGGTATCTGCCTATAATTCCGAGGTTTAAACGACTTTTTTCTATCAATAAGGATGCAAAAAACTTGGTGTGGCATGCACAAGAGAGAAAGAAAGATAGGTACATTAGGCATCCCGCTGATTCGAAGCAATGGAAACATATTGATGATACATTTCCGGAGTTTGGTAAAGAGGCTAGGAACCTGAGACTTGAATTAAGTACCGACGGGATGAATCCTTACGGTACCCTTAGCTCTCAACACAGCACATGGCCGGTGCTTTTGTCAATTTATAACTTACCTCCTTGGCTATGCATGAAACGTAAGTACATCATGTTGTCGCTTCTAATATCGGGTCCCAAACAACCCGGTAATGACATAGATGTCTACTTGGAGCCTCTCTTGGAGGATTTGAGACTATTATGGGATAAAGGTGTTCCAATGTTCGATGCCCATACAAGTACAAATTTTACTTTGCGGGCCATGATTTTTTGCATTGTAAGTGATTTCCCGGCTTATAGGAACTTGTCTGGTTACAAAGTCAGAGGGAAAAAACCATGCCCCATTTGTGAGGACAAAATGGAACCAACACGCCTCAAGAATTTTGGAAAGGATGTTTATATGCATACTAGACGACTGCTTCGTCGAGATCACCCTTATCGTACGAAAAAAGCTGAATTCAATGGGTTCCCAGAGAAACAGTGGTTGCGTGAGCCACTTAGTGGTATAGAGTTGTGGGAGAGAATCAAAGATGTTGAGACAATTTTCGGGAAAGTTGGTAAACATACCTCTATTACGGGTCTTTGGAAAAAGGTGTCTACATTTTGGACTCTTCCTTATTGGAAACACTTGTCTGTTAGACATTGTCTTGATGTTATGCATATTGAAAAAAATGTATGCGATTCAATCATCGGGACATTATTAAATATACCTAACAAGACAAAGGATACTAAAGATGTCCGAAAAGACATGAAGCTTGCAAATATTCGACCAAAGTTATGGCCCGTGGAAAATGACGAAACAAAAAAGACATTTTTGCCTCGAGCTTGATACACATTGTCTAGAGAGGAGAAAAAATATTTTGTGAGTGTTTGTACGGCATCAAAGTACCTACAGGGTATTCGTCGAACATTAAGCGTCTAGTTTCAATGGCCGATAAGAGATTAATTGGTATGAAATCCCATGATTGCCATGTCATGATGCAAGTGATGTTGCCTATTGCACTTCGAGGTCTTTTGCCAAAACATGTTAGGCACACTATTGTTAAACTTTGCCTATTTTTTAATGCCATATGTAACAAGGTGATTGATCCAGATAAACTTGATGAAATGCAAACTGATGTTGTAGAAACATTATGCAAATTTGAGATGTATTTTCCTCCTTCATTTTTTGACATAATGGTTCATTTGGTTGTCCATCTAGTACGAGAAATCAAGGAATGTGGCCCGGTTTTTTTGAGATGGATGTACCCTTATGAGAGATACATGGGAACTTTGAAAGAAAAGGCGACCAACAAAGCACATCCAGAAGGTAGTATTGTTGGAGGTATTATTGCAGAGGAGGCTAGTAACTTTTGTTCCGTGTTCTTAACTATGGCTAAAGAAATTGGAGTTCCAACATCTCGTCATGAAGGCAGACTTCAAGGGTAAGGGACGATCGGTCGTCAGTTTGTGAAGCCTCCATCAGATAGAATCCAGAAAGCTCATCGTTATGTTCTTCAAAACCTTTCAGAAGTCCATCCTTATATAGAAAATCATCTCAATTATTTGAAAAGAATGAATCCAAGAATAGGTACATATGCTTTGATGCAAAAACATAATCATTCTTTTGTTGAATGGTTTCAAAACCAAGTGAAGTGTGAGTTAGGGCAACCAAATAATAATGTATCTGATACGATCAGATGGCTTTCACGGGGTCCTCAATTGTTTGTGAACACTTATGAAGGCTATGACATCAATGGGGATTGTTTCTACACTAGTCGCCAAGATGATAAGAGTGTACATCAAAATAGTGGTGTTATGGTTGTCGCATCTTCTACGGAATACTCAAGCTCTAAGGATGCTAGGCCTATTAATGCAACACAGTCATATTATGGGGTCATTCAAGAGATATGGGAGCTGAATTATGTTGATTTTGTAGTTCCTGTTTTCCGATGCAGGTGGGCTGACAACCGGCGAGGCAAAAAGATAGATGAACTATTTGGTTTTACTGTAGTGGATTCAAGTTGATTTGTTGATGGGGAGGAGCCCTTTGTTTTAGCTTCACAAGCAAAACAAATTTTCTATATTAGGGATAACATTGATCATAACTGGCAGGTTGTTGTTCAAGGAAAGAGAATAATTGTTGGTGTCGAAAATGTTGTCGATGAGGAAGAGTATGACCTATTTGATGATACACCGCCTCTATCTATTGGGGTTCAACCCCTAAGAGAGGGGGAAGACATTTTCGCTGATGAAGAGTATGCCCATGAGGAGGGAGAATATGTTGATACCTAGGCTTCATTTTTTATCAATCTGTAGTTCTTTTTAATTCTTTGATTAATTTGTAACTATAGTGCTAGACAATAATGTTAGATGACTATAAAACCTCCAGTTTCACTTGGATTTTAGTCTTTTGAGCTTTGACATATTAAATGGAATTTTACATAGTTCTTATATATGCGTCACAAGCTTGACTGTTTTTATTGGTATTATAACTTCAGGAATTGAAAAATAATGTCTCTGCAGGTTGCTTTTATTATTTATATTTGCTTGCTTTGTTACTTACTTGTAGGTAGAAACCTTTTATAATCTGTAAAAATATAGCTATGTTCATGTGATATTTAATTCTATTAGTTTTTGTATTTTGTTTTATGCAGACACTTCTAGATCAAGGAGCATAAATATGGCCATTCAACAAAGTCAAGAGCAAACTTCCTCAAGCCAAGATGTTGCTTTGCAAGCCATATCATCTAAGAAGAGGAGTAGGGGGCCATCAAAGGCAATACAATCAAGTAAGCCTATGGTGCTTGAACTCAATGATTATGACTTGCCTACTGGTGAATGGGAACCCGTTTATGGAAAACAAATTGGTGCATGTTCTAAGAGATTAGACATCACTGTGAATGAGTATGCAAAAATAGATAAAGTGGATCGGGAAAATATATGGGAGGAGACAAAGGTATAAACTATTCACTTACTAGTTAGTCATGTTGCTATTCAAAATATTAGTTAACTTTTTTTTTTAATCCACAGCGAATGTTCCACATTGAGGATCCAAGTGGAGAAAGGCAAAAAAGGTTTCATAGTGCTGTGGCTTCGCGATTCAGCTGTCACAAGTCGAATTTAAGGGCACGATTCATCACTTTTAAAAACCCATACCCGGCCACTTCTCCTAAAGCAAATATGAAGCCATGGGAAGTGTATGAAGGTTACTTTACAGAGGAGAAATGGAAGAGGTTCAAAATATATAGTAAATCAGCAGAATTCAAGGTAACTACATATTCACATGCACTGTTAATTAATCAAACAAAAACTGATTGTGAAGAATATGATAATGTTTAACTCTCTTTTCTTTTCTTTTTTTTTTTTAAAAACAAAAAAACAGGAAAAGAGTGAAAAGGGGAAGGAAAATGCAAAGCTAAACAAATGTCGCCATCACTTGGGTCGAAATAGTTTTCAAAGAGCTCGGATAATTTGGAATAAGCAAAAGAGACTTGAAAATAGATTTCCTGCTCTGGCAGAATCTTCAACTACTGGCAACACTTCCCAGAGCAGTACATCAACTGGTTCTATTTTTGATCGTCGGGCTCTTGAGTGGGTTTTAGCTCATGAAAAGCGGTTGCCAGATGGAACATGGGGCATCGACCCAAAAGATACGGAGACTATTCGAATTGCCAATATAGTTGTATGTCATAGTTTATCAAAACAAAGAAATCTACTGGAATTACAGATTTCTGGTCATCTAATTAACTTTTTCTATGTTTTTTCAAACAGGAAGAGAACTTGCAAAAACAAGCAAAGGAATCTGAGGAAGGAGAGTGTAAACAATCAGAGCGAGGCGTTGATGCCCTTACTTTGGCATTTGGGAAAAAGGACCATCGTGGATTTGTGAAAGGACTTGGTGGATGTGGGATTGGTGTCGGCTATAGAAAAGCATTTGGCCCGGTAAAAGGTAAAAACATGTCTAAAAGTGGTTGCTCATTACAAGAACTAGATGAATTTAAAGAGAACTTAACTCGGGAATTTGAAGAAAAATTAAAGGAAGGCATTGCAGCAGCTGTAAATTCTTATCTTTCTGATTTCATACCACACATTACTGCAATGATTTGCAAGTAAATGATGCTCAACCTTCCCCATCTTCCTCAACCAATCCAACAGAGCTAAGTCCTCGCTTGTTAGAGGTAAACCTTCATTTGATTGAGATTGAACTCTTAATTATTATCACATGAGATGAATGCAGAATTGATAATCAGAACTGAATTCAAAGTCGAATTTCAGAACTGAATGCAGAATTGATAATCAGAACTGAATTTAAAGTCGAATTTCAGAACTAAATGCAGAATTGATAATCAGAACTGAATTCAAAGCCGAATTACAGAACTAAATTCAGAACTGAAAATCACAACTGAATTTAGAGCCGACTTCTAGAACTGAATTCAGAACTGAAAATCAGACCTGAATTCAGAGCTGAAAATCAGACCTGAATTCAGAGCTGAAAAACAGAACTGAATTCAGAGCTGAAAATCAGACCTGAATTCAGAGCTGAAAATCAGACCTGAATTCAGAGCTGAAAATGAAAATTGAATTCAGAACTGAAAATCAAAACTGATTTCAGAGCTGAAATTCAGAACTGATTTCAGTGCTGAAACTCAAAACTGATTTCAGTGCTGAAATTCAAAACTGATTTCAGTTCTGAGTTACTGATTTCAGTGCTGAAACTCAGAACTGATTTCAGTGCTGAAATTCAAAACTGATTTCAGAGCTGAAATTCAGAACTGATTTCAGAGCTGAAACTCAGAACTGATTTCAGTGCTGAAATTCAAAACTGATTTCAGAGCTGAAATTCAGAACTGAAAATCAGAACGCAATTCAGAGCTGACTTTCAGAAGTGAATTCAGAACTGAGTTAAGATGGATAGTTTGTTCACCATTGTTTAGTCTTCTTAATTTTAGGTTTGTGGAGCTGGTTGGTATTGTTTGCAGAATTTGCTGTTGGAGTGGTATTCTTTTTCTTGCTATTTGATGTATTTATTGAAGATAAAAGTTAGTATTGACCTTTTGTTGTTCATACAATGGATTGTATCTAAGCTTCTTAATTTTGTATCTAAGCTTTTTCATTCATATATGTGAGAATTTAACTTGACATGTGTTAAAACAACAAAATGATTTATGATTTCACTCATTCATATCTGGAATGATGCTATTTAGCCTACAAGAAATGCAACACAAAACACAAACTAGTAGATACCACTAATGATTGCAGTAGCACAGTCCTTTTCTGGCAGTCAACTTATTGCAAAGTATATAAAATTTATCCTCTAAAATTAACAAATCTATTACAAGATCAGTAGTGGAGCCAGAATAGCATTCAAGATATTCTAATCCTTTAATAAAGTCAGCTTTTAAAAAACTCACAGTAGCATAATCTTGTAAGCATAATCTCAGTTTCATATTCATATATGGAGAGTTGGAGATTGTAGCAGGTCTAATAGATTGGATTAGGGTGCTAGTGTTTGTTAATGTTACGAGTAATTTCAACTTAATTCCTGAGTTTTATTATTAATTTGAACCAAGAAGGATGACTTTGATAAATTAAACATATGAGGTGTGACAGGGTTTTTGGAGTCTATCAGATTGGAGGTGGAACAGGGTCCAATGGATTTAATTAGGGTGCTAATGTTTGTTATTTATGAGTAATTTCAATGTAAATCCGAGAGAAATATTATTATCTGGTACCAAGAAGAATGACAAGGATATATTATGCACATGAGGTGTGAAAGTGTGTTTGGATTCTTGTTAGGTGTTGGAAGATCAGATATCATGCAAGATACCGCTCTCATATAATTAAAAGGCACATTCAAGAGCTGTCAGATTCTCAGATAGACCATATCAACATGGAGTAGGTTTGGTGTATTCTTGTGATGATTTAGCATTAAAACCTGAGACATATTAGCAACAATTTTGACATGAGCTTGTCATTGTTGCTCATTGTTGCTTCTCACAGATGCTCATTGCTGCTTCTCACAATTTACCCTTGGTGTATTCATGCTGGTTTGCCATTTCATGATGAGGGTATTTTAAGTTTGGCATGATATTAGCCAGCTTAGATTCTTTTTTTCCTTAGTTCGAAGTTCCTCTTGCTTTGTGATATATATATATTCTGCAAATACATCATACTGTGAATTTTGCGGAGGTTGTCCATTAAGTACCCCTGCCCCCTTCCCCCCTGCCTGACCCATATGTTCCTTCCAAAACCCATTTGCCAGAGGTCAATTTAACAAAACATCAGTTTTAGTACAAAGAATCTTACTTGCTTTTATTTCTCATACTTAGCTTATTAGTTGTTAACTGTAGATTATGCTTTCATGTTTCTTACGACATGATGAATTATGTAGGTCCCAACTAAATGTCGTCTTGCTTTAGTTGATGAGTTCAGTGGGAACTCAGTGATTGTGGCCGATGGAACGGCAAAACCTTGTCCTAGTGGAGTGATTCATAACAAGAAAATGAACCGTGACATTTATAGAGTTAGTGTTGACCATGTTTACAGTGATTATTCTAACCTAAATCTCCCAGAAGAGACCGATGACGGTATCACCAAGTTGGGTGAGGCGAAAGGTTATTTTTTGGGGTGGCCGGCAGATTTAGTCTTCTTTACCGATGAGGTAATTCATTGATATTCTATGTAATGATCTAAGATATTTGTAACTAAATTATATTAATATTTATCTTTTCTTGAAGGTTATGAATTTGGCAAAAAAGACGGATAATGAATTGGTGCAAACCAAAGAGAAAGTTGATAGTTGCGGGCCTATCAACTCAGAGCATTCAACTATTAAAGGCAAAGGCATAACTATTCCGGAAAATATTGTTGAGAGTCTTGGTGAACAGTGTTCTATGTTGTATTATTGCATGACTTCAGGAAGTGGAGATTATGATACTATGACAATTCCATTGAAGGCTCCATTGTTTTATCAAAAGGAAGACACACAAATTTATGTTACTAGTGATGATGTCTCTGAATTGCTACGAGGAGCATGGGCTAATATTTCATTAATCCATGTCTACATATTGTAAATACTAACATTCATTTAAGTTATTTAAATTTTTTTTACTATGAAATATATTTTATTAGATCCATTTATTATACTAATTATTTATTTTTTCTGTAAAATGCTGGTACTTAATTGAAGAGCATATCTCATTATTTCAGAAGACTAGAATCAAATTCTTGTGCCCCCAAAAAATTTCTGCAGCTAAAATTAAGAAAGATTTCCTTGAAGTCCAAATGTATTTGAAAAATGCTTTTCTTACTGAATTAAGGAAAAAGGATGCACAATGTAAATTCATTTTGGCTCCATATATGGAAGCGTATGTACTACTGATCCTTGAAATCTTTACTTTTTCATAATTTTATTATTTTAATTATGTGAATAATACGAACAAGTTTATTAAAATGTAGGAATCATTGGGTACTCTATGTGATTGATTTGCGTATGAGTCTTGTGTATGAGTTTGATTCTGTGAATAATCCGAACGCTCGAAACTCAGAGTTGTCCAAAGTAATGAAGATGTTAGTACACAACATTCGTAGTACTATGTATTCATATGCATGTGATTAAAATTTATTTTTTATTCGTTTAATCTAATGATTTTTATGATTTTTTTTTAGACCTTACAATGTATATAGGTCACACCTTAAAGGAAATGCTTTCAAAACGAGTAAGCCACAATTACTACACATAAGAATGGAGGTAAGCGTATAATTTTTGCCTTTTTGTTCTATTAGTAATGAAAGTATTATTTAATATATTAAATAATTGTACTATATTAATTTGAATTAGTGTGCTCAACAATGTGGTGGTACCGAATGTGCTTATTATATGATGAGATATATGTATGAGATAGTATCTTTCCATAGTGATTGCAAGGGTAATTTGAAAGAGGTTAGTGATGAGATATATTACGAGTTTTGGTTGATGTTTTATTTTTATAAAGTATAATATATATACACGTATTTTTTTTTTCAGGAGTATTTGGCAAGACTTGCAGCCTACAACGATGTAGAATTGGATGAGATTCGAGAACAATGGGCTAAGTTTTTTAGGCTTAATTTTTTGTTGAAAGACTAGTTATCTTATTAATCGATGTTATGATTTATCGCATTTAGCTTAATAAAATGATATAACACATTTTTATATATCTACTATAATTTTATTTAGCCTATTGGTTATTGTTATTACATTTCTAAATTATAAATCAATGCTTTTTTAATTCAAGTTTAATTGTTTTTTTGGAAATTACAGTATAATTAATTTTTTTGTATTGTATTGGTTATGGATGAATAATTCGAGTTGCGCGGAACTATTTAGAGTGTTTGTATTGTATGGAAGTATTCGTAGTACGTGTTTTGTTGGTTGAATTGTAACAGGTTATAACCCATTTGACGATAGGTCATTTGGTAGGATATACTACCATTTTTGTATTCGAATCAAATATTTAAAAAAATATATATATTTATTAGTAACTGGCATAATCTAGTGCTAGTTACTAATAGTATTTTTTTTTTTAAAAAATAAAAAATATATTCGTAACCGGCGTTATGATTTGCCAGTTATTAATAATACCCTTATTGTAACCGACGTAACTTAATGCCAGTTACAAATAGTGTACTGTTTTACTTGGAAAAATAGACTTTTTGTAACTGACGTTGGGTGATGCTAGTTACGAATGTACCCTTATTGTAACGGATGTAACTTAATGGCAGTTACAAATAGTGTGATTTCTTACCTGGAAAATAGACTTTTTGTAACTGGCGTTGGGTTATTCCAGTTACGAATAATACATTATTTGTAACTAACATGAGCCGGTTACGAATAATTTTCACTAGTTGTAACGGTGGCATTCGCAACCAACAATGCCAGTTACAAAAAGTCAATTTCGCCAGTTACAAATAGCACTTTTTCTACTAGTGTGTGTTATCCCTTTATTCCGTCCACCACTATCAATAAGCTTCAACCCCGTTCCACACCATGTGTATATTTAGGTTATCCACCAAATCATAGAGGTTACAAATGTTATGACTTATCTTCTAATAGGATCATAATTAGCCGGCATGTTGTGTTTGATGAAACGATTTTTCCTTTTGCTAAATTACACACACCAACTACACATACATATAATTTTTTGGATGATGGTTTGAATTCTTATGTGATTAATCACATGGGCAAGCCTGAGCAGCCCATTTCTTCACCCACGACCCAACACGGGTCTTCTCCCATTTCTGCTCACAGCAACCCACTCCCTTCCCCTCAATTTCTGACTGGGCCGCACACTATTTCTCCTCCCAGCAGCCCACTCTCTTCTCCTCACAATCGGACTGGGCCGTATACTCCTTCACCTCCCAGCAACCCAGTCACGTTTCCTTCCTCTCCTAACACCCAACCTGCTGGTGGGCAGAATAGGCCACAAGAGGACCATGGGCCTGCGCAGACAACCACGACCCACTCAGGGCCTACCCAACCAGTTGGGCACGGTGTTGCTCCTCCCCCACCACCTCCAATTCTCACTTCACACCCAACCATGGTCACTCGTAGTAGAAACGGTATCACTAAGCCTAACCCGAAATATCATAATTTAAATACCATGGTGTCCCCGGTTACGAAATCCCCTCTTCCTCGTAACCTAGTTTCTGCTTTACGTGACCCGAATTGGAAAATGGCTATGGATGATGAATTTAATGCTCTTATTAATAATAAGACGTGGGAGTTGGTGCCCCGTCCACCTGATGTTAATGTTATTCGTTCTATGTGGATTTTTACTCATAAGGTGAAATCTGACGGTTCTTTTGAGAGGCATAAAGCCCATCTTGTAGGTGATGGCAAAACACAACAGGTTGGCATTGATTGTGGGGAGACTTTTAGCTCGGTGGTCAAACCGGCTACCATCCGTACTGTGCTTAGCTTGGCGCTGTCCAAGCTTGGCAAATTCATCAGCTTGATGTTAAGAATGCTTTTTTGCATGGTGAGCTTAATGAGACTGTCTATATGCATCAACCTCAAGGTTTCCGTGATAAAAATCATCCTGATTATGTATGTTTGCTGCGGAAATCATTATATGGTCTAAAACATGCACCCAGGGCTTGGTATAAGCGATTTGTTGATTTTGTTACTTCTATTGGTTTTACTAATAGCAAGAGTGACAATTCTCTCTTTATTTATTGTGATGGCTCGAATGTGGCTTATTTGTTGCTATATGTTGATGATATTATTTTTACAGCTTCCTCTAATGCTCTAAGGCGTTCTATTATTGCTCTTCTTAGCAAGGAATTTGCTATGAAGGATTTGAGTCTTCTAAATTATTTTCTTGGCATTGTTGTGACAAGGCATAAGGGTGGATTATTTTTGTCACAGCGTACGTATGCTGAGGAGATTATTGACAGGGCTGGGATGAGTTTGTGCAAGCCTTCGGCCACTCCTGTTGAGGCTAAGCCGAAAGTAAGTGCTTAGGGCTCTCCGTTTGCAGATCCCACCTTGTATCGTAGCCTTGCTGGGGCACTACAGTATCTTACATTTTTACAAGGCCGGATATTTCATATGTTGTGCAACAGGTATGCTTACATATGCATGATCCGAAAGAAACTCATATGGCTGATCTGAAACGCATCGGTACGTACAAGGTACTCTTGACCATGGATTGCATTTTTATCCATCATCTATTTCTACACTTGTATCATTTACAGATGCTGATTGGGGGTGGGTGTCCCGATACGAGACGTTCCACATCTGGATATTGTGTGTTTTTAGGTGATAATTTGATATCTTGGTCATCTAAACGACATGCTACTCTCTCCAAGTCTAGTTGTGAAGCAGAGTATAGAGGAGTGGCCAATGTGGTTTCGGAGTCATATTGGCTTCATAATTTGTTGTTGGAGTTACATTTCCCGATTAAAAAGGCAACCTTGCATTGGTTTATTGTGATAATGTGAGTGCTATTTATCTTTTGGGTAATCCAGTGCAACATCAGCGTACCAAGCATATTGAGATGTACATTCTTTTCGTTCGTGAAAAGGTGGCTAGAGGTGAAGTGCGAGTCCTCCATGTTCCATCTAGGCACCAAATTGCGGACATCTTTACAAAAGGACTACCCGGGTGTTATTTGAAGATTTAAGAGATAATCTAAGTGTCCGTCCTCCTTCCGCTTTGACTAAGGGGGTGTGTTAAGATATATATTTATCATATATATCTTTGACCTTGCAAATATATTGTTTCCTAGATTAGTGCCTAGAATATTTCGTATATAGCTATTCTTAGTTTGTAGCATTAGTTAGTGGCTGAACTTAAGCCCTTGTATTTTGTATAAATTGACAGTGAATGCAAAGCTATACTCACGGATTAAATTCCTTCGCCTAGGACTCTAAGGACTGTAATGCTGGTATCGGTTGGTGTTTTTCTTTGATTGACATTGATAGCTGCTTAGGGGGTGGCTCTCGAGCTTGCTTTGCTCTTTCAGCTTTTCAAGAAGACTTGCTCGCCTATCTTTTTGCTTTACGAATAGCGCTTAGCCGTGGTTTTACCCTTCTGCAAATTCACACTGACTGTGTGGCCATTCTTTATGCTCTTGGGGACAATCATACTGGAGAGATCTCGTCTGTGTGGCTCCATTAACAACCAGAGACATTCTTCCTTCCTTTACTGTGTCTGTCATCTAAAGAAGGTTTCTCGCGATGTTGTATTCCCTACCCACCTGTTAGCGACTTCAGCTAGGAAGCGTCAGTTTATTTATTATCGTTTTGTCTGTTTTCTTTGAAGTGAAACTTTGTAAATAAAAAAATATATTGACATTTTTATACAAGGTAGGCGGTTAAAAAGAATGTTTAAATTAGACCACCATGAATGAAATGGGAATCTAATGATTGTTTAAGATCTTAAGAAATTATTGCCTATATATAAAAAGTCAGACGGTAAATTATAAGAGTATGTTCAGATTAAACCATGTGAGAGAAACAATGCAAATGTCTGAAGACCTATTACCTCCATTTCTTATTAGTTGCAACTTTGGGGTATTATTTGTGAGATATAAAATATTTTAAAGTTGCAAATAATAAGAAACGGAGGTATTATTTAAGTTCTTTTCAACTTTTTGAACATTATGAGATGGAAAAATAAATCTAATGAAGTATCAATACGTTTATAGTTCGATAACAATTGTCAAACGACTCAAACTGGTGACACTATTTTAGCAAGTATGGTGGGCTTGATTGTGGGATGGACTTAATAGCAAACCTTATGAAACTAGCTGTTAGGGTCTATTCCGATTTATTGAAATTAACTGAACTGAACTGAATTGATTGGGGCTGAACTGAACTAAACTGAATTGAATAGAGTTTAAATAAATTGTTTTTAAGAGAAGGAAATTAGGAACTGAACTGAAGTGATTGGAGCTAAATTAAACTGAACTGAAATTAAGGTGAACAGAAGACCTTCATTATTATACACATAATACTTACAAAGTAATTATTTCATACTACAAATTTCCTTTAGTAAATACTTATTTTTGTCAAAACTTGTAAAAATCATAAGTTATTAAAAAAACACACTTGATTACTTGTATAAGGGTTATTATTTCACTTAACAAATAGTCTACTTTTACTAGTCCAATTCCCCGCCCCCTATACCCTTCCATCCACTAGCTAAGATCAAGGAGTATTACTTAATTGGTTAATCGTGAAGTTAATTATAGTACAAATGTACAATACTAATTTATTTAGGTTCTTAGATTAGTTGAGATAGAGTCATAAGAAAAAGACATTGGAATCAATTCATCCACACTCTTTTAGTATTATACTCCTTAATCTTGCAATATTATATTTAGTAGGTATTTTATATTGGTTGTATCAAGACTATACAGTTTGCTCCCTCATGAATCATGTTAAAATCTTCGACAAGTTGGATTAAATTATTATGGATGAAAACTCCCGCAAATGATTGTTGTCGACCACTCATTTGTTCCTTAATTATTTATGCTTAGATAACTCGACTAATTAATTCTCATTAACATAAAATAAAGAAAAAATTTCATGTACGGACATGGAAAGGGTCATAATGACACTTAAATCCATGATATAATCTTTAAAGATAAGAACTCTAGCAAAGTTTAATTCTTAATTAGGACGTGTTTCATGAAAGATGCTGCGACAATAAACCATCATATCTAAGTAAATAGTAGTAATAGTATAAATTAACGGGATGTGGGATAAAGTTTACTACACAAAAGATAATCACATAGATTTCCTTCAATCAAAGCTAAAACAAGTTCGTTCTTTTTTTTTTTTTTTTAATTATTATTCAATTTGTTTTTTTTTTTTTTTTAAATTATCGCTCTTGGATTTTTCAGAAGTTAAAAAGAGACTTTTTGCTTAATTTATATGTAATTTTTTGGGAGTAATTTGTCCGTCGTTCTACCTTTGTCATTCTTTTGGTGTATATGTATATGTATATGTATAGCCTACGATGATCATAAAACAAACCTCACAATAATATATATATAGAGAAACAACACCTATTTCAATTCACCACCTCCCTTCTCAACTCTCTTTCTCGTAACTTCGCAAGTGTGTGGTACACAATAATCTCCTACTAGCAATTTAACAAGAAGAGTAGAAAATTATGAATAAATGGATAATCAGTGGACTGATTACCTTAAGTGTAACTACTGCAATGATCACGATTGTGTCGACGGGGTTTTGGCTATTGAACCAGCCAAGCGACATGTGCCTAGGCATCAACACGAATGCGACGTATGATGGGCGTGGAGAATTCACGTCAATTGTCTACGTTGGTGCAGGATTCGGCCTAATCGTTACGGTCTTGTGCCTGTTTGTTATGCCAATGCGCCACAATTTGAAAAACGGCGAGTCTGGTAACAAGCGTGTGATCATTGCCGTTACTTGCTTTGGGCTACAGCTTGTCCTCCTTATATTGTTTGCTAGCCTCTATGCTCTTACACAAAGCACCGTCGGTTTCGCCGAGCTTGAGAAGTGGATTTCTAGCCCCGAAAGATGGATGAACATCAAACATTGCCTTTACCAAGATAGCAATGTATGCGGTCATTTACGGCAAAAGTTTGCTGATGATACTCAAGATCAATTTTTTGCTAGAAAGTTGACTCCTATTGAGGTACGTACGTATTTGTTACACGTGATTAAGAGTTTTTTTTTTTTTTTTTTTTTTTATTATTTTTTTTTATTTTTAAATTAATTAATTAATTTATTTTTCACTTACAATACTATACTATGATTTTACGAGTGATTTCATTGATTTCCATCAATATTGTTAGAAAAGTTATAAATTTCCAAGATTGCTAGTTTTTATAGATATTCCCTATATACCATTCATGTCTTAATTTTTTTTTTAAGTAAAACCGCTAATTTTTGGCATCATTTATGGTTTTCAGTTTCCTATTTTTTTGAAAACTAAAAATCAAAAACAGAAAACAAGACAAAGATGTTTCCACTTTTCAGTTGTCAGTTTTCAAAATTATCATGATTTTAACAAGTCTAAATAATTTTTGATTCATTATGTGACATATATAATATACTTTTAAAAAACCAAAAAACAGAAAACCACAGTGATGCCAAACGAACACTAAATTAGCGGTTTACTTACTTCAAATTGATGTATACAAAACAAAATAATAGAAACCGCTAATTCAATTAGGGGTTTTCCTTTGATAAAACCGCTAATTGAATTAGCGGTTTTGTTGTAAACTAGTAAAAAAATTAAAAAATAAAACTATTGATGACGTGAACATTATGTAGGGAATATTAGCAAAAAGTGACATATTCTTAGAATTTATAACTTTTCTAAACATTTCTATAGAAATCACCCTCATTTTACTCACTTATAGATCTTTATATGTGGACAAAGGAATTACACTAATTACATGACTTGTGTAAAAGTTTAGTTGTTGTAATCCTTATTAAAAAATAAGAGGATTAATGTTGCTTTTTCAAATGGATTGGGGTTTAGGTAGGGAGTCTATTATCTTAACTTGAGCCCAATTATTATTGGAAACGATTTGGACTTAGTCACACGCAAATTTTTGGCTGAGGTCGCGCTCAGCCAGCGCTGGTTGAGGTCACGTCCAGCAAATGAACATTTACTAGAAAAAAATGATCATTTATCTCTGAACATTGAATTATATAAAAACGAACATTTATAATATAAGAGTATATAAGAGTAAAATAAATAGACTATGAAACTTAAAAAAAAAATTGTACATTTAATATTATATAACTAAACATTACAGTTATAATAAATAAACATACGGTGTTATTGCTTATTCATCAATAGTTTTTTAAGCTTCAAGTTAAATACCTTGATTTGTTCTATTCTCTTGAATGGATATCTTACAATTGAGCTATATGATTTAATACCCATTAAATAAATCAACAATATGTCTTTTTAGTAATGAACAACATGCTAATGTCTAACATTATTAATGCTAATGTTAATTGAACATACTTTATTATAAAAGCGAACAAATTTTTTTTTTGAGTAAAATAAAAGCGAACATTTTTTTTTTTGAGTAAAATAAAAGCGAACATTTTTTTTTGAGTAAAATAAAAGCGAACATTTAATACAACTGAACATACACAAAAATTTGTACGTAGTATTAATTAATAAATAAAATGAAATTTTTTTATAAGAATGAACACCATACGATATAAAAATAAACATTTATTTTATAAGAATGAATATCATACAACATGAAAATGAACATTTGCTTATTGAGAAATACAAATTTTTTGTAAAATATGTTCAGTTAGAAATGTTTATTTTTGTGATATTAAATGTTCAATTTTGACGGCGATCTCAGCCAATGCTTAATTTCGTGACACCTACAACGAGCCTTGGACAGTTGGGCTGATTCATGTCAAGTTAATTTGTCCGTTTGCCCATGAGATAATGGCCGTACTAAAACGATTTGGGCATAATTTTGTGACACCTATAAAGAGATCTATTCAAATTACTCAAATCAAGTCCAGATTGTGAGTACTTAATCATACAACACCTAAGATAGCTATTCAAATTACTCAAATCAAGTCTAGATTGTGTTATCAATAATGAAAAAGGAAAAATGAATAAAAGGGCAATATAAATATCTAGTGTCAGAAATAATAAAAATACTCCCTAATAAGTATCTAATTAGTGCTTGTTTGGTTGGATGATATTTTCCTTGAAAATAGAAATTCCTAGGCAATAGCTAAAATATGTTGTATTTAGTTAGAAATTCCTAGGAAATAAAATTTTCAAGGGAAATATAAATTCCTACATAGCATGAGAAATATCTCACCAAACCCCTCTGGGTGAGTGAATTCCTACAATACGTAGGAAGTTATTTCCTCGGAAATACTAATTCCGCCCATGATGTCAACCAAACGCTTTTGTTAAATTTTTATGTAATTAGCAAAGAAAATAACTTTCCATGATATATGATTTCACGTGAAAATTTATTTTCCATGTTGAACCAAACAAACACTTATTAAAGGTCACATCAATACCTTTTCCTTTTCTTAATATTTGTTTATTACTTAATATAGTCGGAATGTTGCAAGCCGCCGTTGGAGTGCAACTTTAGTTTCTCAAGCCCTACTATTTGGATCAAGCCATCAAACGGTACCTACTCAAATCCTGACTGCTATGAATGGGAAAATGACCCAAAGAAGCTTTGTTATAATTGTCAAGTATGCAAGCTTGGTTACGCTCAAGAATTGAAGAAAGCATGGACAATTAGTGGCACTATTGTCGTTATAGCATGGCTGTTCTTTGTTTCTGGTTTCATATTGCCAAGAATGCTTGTTAAGGAACACGAAGAATTAAGGTAGGATGAATATGTACTCCAATCCATACGATTTATGCACATGCATTTGTACAATCTCAAATCTAGTACGTAAGGTAAAATGGTACAACAATGTATAGTATACGAATACTAGTATATACATATAATTCAAGTATCATATGAATTACAATATTATGAAGCCTAAGATACGTACTCTGTAATTTTATGTTATTAATATTTATTATAATAGATACTCTGTTGAGTATTAGTTGTTTTGAAAAAAAAAAAAAAAAAAAAAAAACCCCTCATCGATTTTCTTGTTAATATAATCATGACATTTTTATATTCTAATCATCTTCATTCTGTAATATGAAGTGCTTCATATTTTTAAAAATCACTGGATTAATAATATATTGACATCAAATATATGATAGATTAAAGTATCTTATAGTCCTTAATTGAGGATTGGGAATTTGGGATAAATCATAACCACGTTGGAGAAAAACGAAGTTGACCTAGCTTATTGTCTGTATACCATTGAATAATTGGATACAAGAATATATATTAGTATAACAATGTTTGAAAAATCAGCAACTAAGTGTACTTAAAGTACAAAATTTGTTCCAAATCCTATCATGTATGTCATATGTCAATTAGGCCGTGTCTCACATTGCATAGACATATTTACTTAGTACTTCATATTAATTAATTTAGAAAAAAATTAGAAATAATAATCCTCAACTTTCATCACTTTTGTTAGAATAATTCCAAATTTGAATTATTCGATTTGGAATAATCTGAATTTTGGGAGATCTTCTTCTTTTTCTTCAATCCCAAATACCGGTATATATATATATGTGTGTGTGTGTGTGTAGTCGCAAATTAATTGGTTAAAAATATATAAAAAAAAAACTCACTCAGCCAATCCGACAACCCGCCCAGCCCAGTCAGCTCCCTCGTCGGACCGTCGTCCTTCCCCCACCACTAGAGTTGCCGCTCCAGCATTCCCTCTAAACCACCGTCCCCTCTCTCCGAAACCCCCACGCAACCATCAATAGATTAAAGCCCCTCCCCCATTTTGAGAACTTCTAAACACCACTCCTCTTACATCGAAATCCTAGCGGCTAGGGTTTTCGAGGGTGAGGAAGTGGTTGTTGGGGGGTTTTCTGGAGTGGGGGAGGGCCGGGGTTTCGAGGGTGTTTCGAATGGTTGGAGAAGTTTAAAGGGAGTTTCGGTCGTGGTTGGCAGAAATCGAATTGAAAAAGGAGGGGATTGGGGGTAGAGGTGGGTCGCAACACCGGCATAGGGCCGGGGGATTGGGGGGAAAGCGGCGCAGCATTGGGACGGGGTAGGGGAAGGGAGGGGTAGGCGCGGACGGCTAGCACTACAAGAAAATAACCTTTTCGTAGCGATTATTTTAACCTTTAGTATCGATTGTAATTGCAACAAAAAACTTTAATTCCCAATGAATAGTCATTCGATACAATATCCCCCGTTGCCTTAACCTTTGGTAGTGGTTTTCAATATCGCTGGGGTTGGCCTCAATAATCGATACGAAAAACTACATCCAATCGTGGTGACTCGTAACGTCTATTGCAGTGACTCGTAAAATTATGCATACGAAAAACCAGTGACTCGTAACGTCTTCGAGGAAACCGGCCTTACATGATCGGCAGTTGAAGCATAAGGTGTTCGGATCATCATCCCATCTATTGCAGTCATCTTCGGAGTAGTTACCATTACTGTTTGCTGGCTTTACCCAAACTTTTGGGTTTGTGTTATTGAAGTTACAATTTTCTGGGGGCTTGCAACAACCAGACTGTAAAATTCGTTAAAAAATACTCTTGATTAGTTTCATACCGAGTACTCAATTTAGATAGAGTGTCAATGCATAATTTTAAACATTGATACCTTCAAGGCTTCAAACTACAAATAGGCATAAATGTATTATATTATTATTTAATTTAATTTATTTATATATATAAATATGAGGGATACCCAGTCAATTCCCCAAATAAACAAAACTAGGTGTAAGCGATGCACGGTTCTAGTAATTATTTTATTTAATTTAAAATTGTGTATATTTATGAAGATCATTCACTAAATATATGGATAAAATTCCTAATATCAAAAGATAATTTTTTTAATTTTTACACTGAAGTTATCTTTTGTTGTTTTATTTATTTTATGTGACGCTTGAATTTAAAATCCCAAACTTTATTCACTCATTTTGCTTATGTGACAATTTAAATTTTTCATTCACAATATAAATGACAAATCTCGTTTTTTTATTGATAAAAAAAGTCTTCTACCTATGCGTTTATTTTTATTTAATATACTCGTTCTGTTTAAAATGTTAGTCTCATTTATAATCGTTTAACTATACAATATTATGGGAAATCAGTCATAGGAGATTTAGTTTTACTCGTCCTGATAATTACATTATTAAAATCAAATTTTTACAATATTTTCTAGGGAGAGATTAAAGATATTTGCGATTTAAAATTTGCATCCATACATATAAAAAAGATAATTATTACTTATTTTTTTAGAGAGATAATTATTGGGTTTTAAAAGTAATTTAAATTTTTTTTTGAAAGAAAAAGTAATCTAAATTTTAATTATTCTATATTCGTTGTTTTTACCTATGTGTCAAAATTCTTAAATCTTATTCGTCACTTTGCTTAGGTGGCGAGTAAATTTTTTAATTCTAAAATAAATTATTAATCTAATTTTACATTGGACAAAATAATACCTTTGCTTACGTGACGCTTCAAATGCTCCCGAAAAATGCCTACTTTATTTATATATATTAGATTAGATTAGATTTGTTTATCGGCGGTATAATTGTCTTTTCAAGTTGCAGTGAAGAGGTATATGCGTCTTTTCATGTACTAGTTGAGGGGTACAGTACATCTGTAATTTCCTCCTCAAACAGTAAAAGTAAAAAGCAAACAGTAATTAGACAGCTCACTAAAAGTACTGAATAAATGATTCCGCTTTTTCAATATATTTACTAAAATGCCATCAGATTAACAAAAATTCGTTTATCTGGCAGATTAACTTGTATTTTCCCTATAAATATTAAAAAAATATTCCCAACATGATATGTGTCATATATTACCCCTTTTTACACTATAAGTGTGCCAACGTTTGAACTTGCTCACAAAAAAAAAAAAAAAAAAAAAAAACTCTTTCCGTCCTTTAATTAGATTTATACTTTTAGCATTTATTTCTCACATAATAGAGAGAAGTAGGAATCTACTCAAAGGACAGAGGGAGTATTAGTTTATATAAGTGCAAATAAGTTTTAAATTGTAATAATTCGTTCACTATGATTAGTGATTATACGTCAATTAAATTTATATACAAAATAGCTTATTACCTACTGTTTGGGTCCAATTTAGTCCAATTGGGCCTGGTCACTGAATGATCCAATTAAAAGCCCAAGGTTAAGGTTCAACTCTCCAAATATGCTAAAGTCAAAAATCAACATCCTCAAAGCCATGTCAAGGTCAGTCAACGGCCCAATCAGCTTGGCCCAGCCCAACTGACTTCCGGGCCCAATCCGCCTCCTTCATTAGCCAAGGTATAAAAGCCAACAATTTGGTCAATTCTTGGTAAGACAATAAAGCCTCAAGCAACTAAACTCTTGCACAGCTTTCTCTCTCTAATATACTGACTTAAGCATCGGAGGGGCCTTCCTCGGCGTCCCCCCCGAGGCTAGTTTACGTGTATTTGTTGTGCAGGAAACCCTCGGCTCCTGCGTCGTTCGGACCGAGACCAAGTTCCCTCAAGATAAAAGGATCTTCCGAGATTCGATTGTTTTCATCCGAAACAATTTGGCGCCGTCTGTGGGGAACGCTACTAAATTTCGCGTCAGTCATCAAACACTCCGGCAGTCGCCATGACTAAGAGTGGAAAGAGTTCCAAGAAGGCTAAGAAGGGAGGAGGCCAGATTACGGTGAGGGAACGCCAGCCGGTTTATCCCTCCCCGGAGCAAGCCTCTTCCGAATCGGAGGCCCCCATTTCTCCGGAAAGGGAAGCCTCAAGAGGTCCTAGCCTCCAGGAGGAGAACACCTCGCACCACACTCGGCAGCCGGGGCCATCCCCGAGACCGAGTGGCTCAGGTGCGAGGAACTCCCCGCCGCGCCATAGCGTGCAATCCAGGTCACATCCGCGGGAGACTCCTCCCTCCGGACCCTCCACCGAGGAAGTGGCCAGAGCAGTGGCCATCTGCATGGAGTTCCTTAAAGCTCAAGGGGCTCCAATCCAGATGCCTGATGATCACCAGCCGAGAAACCTGAAAAGGAGGATCGGTCAGGATGATGGTGGACAAGTTCCACCACATAGACAGCTCGGCCAGAGGTGGCGAGGGGACACCCGAAACTCCAGTAAGGAGAGGAGGAGGAACCCTCAACCCTCTGACCACTCCGAAGCTCAGAATTCCATGGGGCCCTCCAAGGACCCGGAATTCGCCCGCCAAAGCGTTCACGAACGCTTGGGTTCGAGGGAGGTGAGTGTGCATAGCCGCCTCACCTTCCCAGAGGATACCGGACCCCACCCAACCTTGTCTCAGCCGGGGACGAAAACCACTTCCACCTCTGAGAGAGGAGGGAGCGAGGTCCCTGAGGCCGGGTACAAGGGGAAGGCGGTCATGGTTCCATCGAACTCGCCCTTCCAGAAGTGGATTCTGGAAGAGCATGTGCCAACGGTCAAAATCCCGGCACATATTACTTACGATGGTACCTCAGATCCTAAGGATCACATTGCCTCTTACGAGGGGCACATGTATCTGAACCCGAGGTCTGAGGCTACCTGGTGTAAATACTTTCCTACGACCCTCAAAGGTGTTGCCCAATCCTGGATCACCAAAGGGCTCAAGGAAGGCTCCATAACCGGTTGGAACGACCTCTCCAACAAGTTCAAGAGCAAATTCTCTACGGCCAACCGCCGAGAGAAGACCACTGCAGAGCTAATGAGTCTGCAGCAGGCGGAGGACGAGAGCCTCCGCGACTATCTGACTCGCTTCAGCAACGAGTCATCCGGAATCACAAGCCTGGATCAAGGCCTGGCCGTGTTCGCGCTACGGAACGGCCTCCAAGCTGGAAAGTTCCTGGACTTCATGGTCATGCATCCCCCGCAGACCCTGGAGGAAGCCTTGGAAGCATCGGATAGGTTCATCCGAGCCGAGGAGTGGAACAGATCCAGGTCTCAGTCTCGTCCGAGAATTGAGAAGCCGAAAGGGCAGCAGCCCGAAGTCTCGGCGCAGAGGAAAGGGAAGGCTAAGGCCTCAGAACCGTCCTCTGCTGCCGAGCCGAAGAAGGAAAGACACTTTCCCTACACGGGAAGGTACGATTCATACACTCCACTCTCCCTTCCCCGTGCTAAGATTTTCAGCACGACGAAGGACGAGGGGAGATTCAAAAAACCTCGTCCGTTGCCTCCCTGGCATCAGACGAGGGGAAAGGACCAGTGGTGCGAGTTCCATGACTCACCCGGACATCGCACCGAGGACTGCGTCCAGCTGAAGGACCAGATTGAGGATCTGGTCCGCAAGGGATACCTGAGCCAATACCTCGCGGACAGGCGCGAGGAGAAAAAAGCTGAAAAAGATTCTCGGCAGGACCTCAACTTCGCTCGGAAGAAGGATAAGGGACCTCAGGGCAAGGAGTCCCTCGACATCCTAGTTATTTCCGGGGGAATCTCGCGAGGCACAGCCAAACGCCAACTGAGGGGTCTAACCCATCAGATTCATCAGGCTGAGCTTCGGCAGTCCCAGTCACCGGCGCCGAACATCCTGTTCACAGCCGAAGACTGTGAGGGGGTGGTATACCCCCACGATGACCCACTAGTAATCATTCTGGGCATCGCCAACCGCAACGTCTGGCGGACCCTCGTCGACGGCGGTAGCGGGGCGAACATCCTCTTCCGAGGAGCGTTCGACCAGCTGAGGATGGGAGCCGAGCACCTGGACCCCGCACCCTACCCGGTGTCTGGATTCAACGGCTCTTCCTCGTATCCTGACGGGAAGATTACACTTCCTGTCACCATCGGCGAAGGCCGAGCAGCTAGGAATATCATGGCCGAATTTTTGGTCGTAGATGCTCCATCTGCATACAACGTGATCATGGGGAGACCCCTCATTCACGGCATTCAAGGAGTCGTCTCCACGTATCATCAAATCATGATATACGTTTCAGACGAGGGACGCTCCGAGAAAATAAAGGGCAGTCAAAAGAAGCCCGCCGATGCAATCACCTCAAGCCATCCACGTCTCGCCGAGGCGACCGTGGCGATGGGGAGGAAAAGCACCGGGACCGAAACGCCAAAAAGCCGAGAGGCTCAGACGTTTCGGCTAATGAAGCCCCAGACAACGAGAAATCTGATGGGGGCCAAAAGGCTGACTCCGCCTCAGAGCCGAACGACTCTGATGGCCAGCCGCGGTCAGGAAAGTCTGCTAATATTGATAGCAGGCCGGAATTCGAGGAATCCAACTCTAAGAGCATGGAGACGGATGACCTGACCGAGTCAATAGAACTGACCGTAGGAGATCCGAACAGATGTGTTAGCATCGGGTCGTCACTGGAGCCAAACACCCGTGCGGCACTCGTCCAACTCCTACGGGCCAGTGGAGACGTGTTCGCCTTCTCAGCCGCAGAAATGCCCGGGATTGATCCGGACTTCGTCTCCCATAGGCTTAATGTCGACCCCTCCAGTCGACCCATTAAGCAGAAAAAGCGGAACTACTCCGCCGAAAAGAACCAGAACATCGCAGCTGAGGTCGATAAGCTCCTAGATGCTGGGTTCATTGAACCC